AGGAGCAGTATTAAAAACTAATGGCTCTATTATAACATCACCTATAGAATCTATACCTTCAAACGACAAAAATGACGAACCTAATTTAGATAAACATGACGCAAAGGATGATGTTAAAGGTACGATTGGTACACTTATTTATTTTGTTTCATTTATTGCTAATTATAATTTCCTTTTCTTGTTAGATTCAAGTAATAAGAATTTTATCACTTTATATTTGCAACTTGGAAAGGATGTCAAAAAAATAAGACATGATGGAGATATAAACATGACTGCACTACAAATGTTATTTGTTGAGAAATTCCAATATAATCCTGGGATGGATAACTTTCCCAAGATTTATATAAAGGATCCACAAGTTGGTGTACTTTATGAATTGGAAGATCTGAGTGAAGTTAAAGATAAATCTGTTCTAGCTTTGAATGCTGCGGGTATGAAAATCATTAACTATTCTATAATTTGCGAATTTTGGTTCGATTATTGGGTGAATTGTCTTAATATAATTGACGCTTAACCTTTTAAATCATAGATCTAGAGCAAGTAACAAAGCATATAGATGAAAGTATCTCCGGGTTAACAAAAGAGATACAAGAAATCAAAAAATCCTGTGCTGAAAATGCAGAATTATTACGTCGTGGAAATATTACCACTACTATGGCTCCTCCCACGCCAAATTTCATAACCAACAAACCTTCACAACAACAGTCCATATCATCAACAGAAGAGGTCGACTCAATTCGTAAAAAGGACGAAAAGTTAGATAAATCAAAGGATAATTTAGTAAATAAAATTGCTAGTGACCTTAAGAATCATTTTCATGAAGTTCAAAATCTTCGAAGGGATTTGGGATCAATGCGACAGATCTATAACGAATTTCAGGGTGAAACAAAAAAATTGTTCGAATCTTTGTCTACTCAAACCGAGTCTGTTAAACAAGTTGCTTTGAAGAATGCTGGGTCTTCACGTTCATTCATTGATAGTGGCAAAGCAAAATTGGACTCTCGATCAACGGAACTACTTAGTAAAGTTGACGAGCTCCAGGACATTATAGATAGGATGAAATCAGACGTTGTAAAAAGGGGTGCTAAGCCACCACCCACGGAAATTCAACATGTTAAACAAGAATCAATGGCTGTTGCTAAAGAGCTTTCTGCTTTGCAAGAATATGTAAAAACTGTCAAGCCAACATGGAAGCAAACATGGAAGCAAGAGTTGCAAATGATTGTTGATGAACAGCAATTTTTAAACCATCAAGAAGAGCTTTTAGAGGATTTACAAGAAGATCACAAAAAATTAACTGAAGTTTTTAATACTATTCTTAAAGTAATTAAATCCCCTGGTCAAACAAAAGTATTTGTACCTCCTACAGCGGAAGAAGGTTTTGAGGGTTTAAAAACTGTTCTACAGGAAGTTAGGGGGATTGCACCTGATCATGAGCGGCGATTAAAAGCTTTACAGGCAGCTGAAAAGCAACGCGAACGTGATTTGGCCAATCGTATTGACGAATTTGAGGCTGAATTAACAGATTTTGTTGCTCAAAATAAGTTAAAAAAGACTGGTGGTGCACAAGAGGTAGAAAGACTACGTCAAAAGAAAAATGAAGAAGCATTAAAAGAGCTTTACAAGACTGAAAAAAAATGAATCGTCTTGACGTTATTTTCTTACACACGGCCTTTGGACTTTATAAACGGCATATGTAAATAACATACATAATTTTTAGATAAAAATCTTTAAATTACTGGAAATTTGTGTATTTATTTTACTGATTTATGTTATTAGTTATTCGCAATGGATTTAACGAAAAAAATTTTTATGTATCAAATTATGATTATTGTACCAGGCAATTTTATGTTTATCTAAACAAATTAAAGAATAATATTCTAACATTATTGTAAATATTTATTATTTATTATACTAGTGTTAAGATTTAATCATAATTGTATTTATTTTTTATAAAAATGTATAATTTTAAAGAAACTTTAATTTATATCATATATATAGTGTATAAAACATATAATTTGTTAGTGTTGGCCAATAACCCAAGTTATAACATTGTTTACAATTACAATTATATGACTTGATTATAATGACAGATCATCCTACCAACAGAAAGAAATGTTTCCGGACACCTGTCATTTACATGATTCTGGGATTACTGTGCTGTTTCAAATTTTATAATTTTTTCTAAACGACTTTGTCATGTGGATTAATTCGTCCAAGAAACTTAGTAGCTAAATTAATTGGAATTAAGATAGTACAATTATTTGCAATAAGTTGGGAGTTTAAAGGGCAGTTTGTATATAGTCTGAGAGTTATTAGAGGTGTAGGGTAAAGTTGAGTGAATTGGGATTCAATAGAACAGCTCCAATATGTGATTAGAACATGGCCACTTGGTGTAGGCTGTCGACATACTTTTCCTATCATAATTTGATTATTAAATGTGATTATAATCCAAGGTTTTGACTGTGTAGAGAAATGTCTAGTTGTATAGCTATAGTAATTAGAGCTAGGAGGTTGAATGTGGTTGTAGAGTATTCTTGTATGTGCATGACTAATTATTAAATCTTCTAAGGTCACAAACCAAGTTGGTATTCTTCCTTTAGGCGATTTGCCTAATCATGGTAAAATATGTTTCTAGTCAAGAAAACAAGAATTATCAAATGATGTTAGCTGCTTTAAGAACATAATATAGTGATATCTAAGTTGTTTTTTAAAGATAGTATAATTAGAGTGAAAAGATAGTATAGATTCAAGTGAAGTTGAACCTGTAATAGTATATGGTATAGGGGATGAAGAGTTGTGTGGAATAGACAATTCAAGATATTTAAAAAGCTGAATAATTTTGAAATTGGTAGAATGTTTATTAGAGTCATCTATTATTGGGTTTGGATGTGATAGAATACTAGTAGAAGATCAAAAGTTGTTTTGCAGCTGTTGGAGTCTAATCTGAGTGTTAGTGCTTAGTAAATTTTGATTATTAAGACGTTTAGTATAATTTGTAATATGGTGTTGTAACTAAATATCTCAAATATTATGAACATTATATAGTTGAGAGTGAAGAAGAAATTGTTCGGCTAAGTTTAGCTTTGTATTTAATAAGTTCAATATGATGTGAAAGGATCTTTTGCAAGTATTTTGGCTTAAAACCAAGTTTTGAAGTCGATATTCAATTGTAGGAATAATGACAGTATTGACAATATAGCGGGTTTGAACATCAGTTATTTGTTTAGTTCTAGCAATTTTAATAAGATGTAAAGATTCACTAATAATAGGTTGTGTTTGCTGAAAATATTTGTTATCAAGTGTAATCCAATAACCTAAAAACTTAAAGAGTATATAAGGTAAGTATAATGAAAGTATATAATTATTAAAGGTAATAGGATTGTAGTTAAGTGGTAGATTATTTGTAGTAAGAATAAATTTAGCAGGGTTAACTTGGATATTAGCCATGTTATAAAAAGACTCTGTAATAGAGAGAATTTGTGAAAGTTTAGATTGAGAAGATGCTATCCATAAGGTGTTATCCATGAAGACAAGAACAAAACAGTTTGTATTGAGATAACTAAATGTTTTGTCTTTCAAATTTGTGATCCAGAATGTTTGAGATGTATATCCTGAAAATTGAGAATAAATATAGGCAATTAAAGGGTCGCAGTAAATTCTCCAAAGTAAAGGGGTAATAGTTTCTCCTTGATCAATTTCATTTTGAACTAGATATGAAGAAGTGAGACCTAAGTTTGTAATAACTTTGTTGTGTTGGTCAGTAAATATATTAATAATTGAGTTTATAATATTGTCTGGTAGTAAAAGACAAGAGAGAGATCGTTGTAGTAAAATAATATTAACAAAGTCATATGCTTTACTTATATCTTGAAACAGAAGCCATATATCTTGATAGTTATAGTTTGCATCTTCAATAAGGTTGTTAAGAATATGAATAGATGTTGAAGTACTGTTGTCAGGTAGAGCAACATAGTTAAAGAGAGATATAGTAGAATAGAATGTTGAGAAAAAACTAAACTAAGTCTATTAGTAAGAATTTTAGTATATACTTTGTGAATATGCTCTACAAGGCTGATAGACTGTATTAGATCTAAGTTGTCATCAAAAGTAGTGCGTTTAGGGATAGGAAAGATTCTTCTATGCTTCCATTGTTTAGGTATTTGGTTGGTAATAAGACAATGATTAAACAAAGCAGTAAGTGCTTAAGTACATGTTGTGCCTATATGCTTGAGCATTTCATAGCTTATGCCAATTAGGCTACAAGCTTTGCCATTTGGTGTTTTGGCGATTGTGTTTAAGACTTCTTCTTGAGTAATTACTTCAGTAAGAAAGTTATACTATACAAGGTCAATATGGGATCGTAGAGTATATTGTTGGAACCAAGTATTCTGGAATAATGTTTCATTGATAGGTTTGTATGCTGTCCAGTTTTCAAAGTGTGTTTGAATATGCTCTTTGATTTTAGATGGTTCTGTGATTAATTTTTCTAGTAACTTGATGTTAGAAAAATGTATAGGTGTATGATAATGGTTAAGAATACTGTTAATTGCTTGAATTGAGTGTGAAACTAAAGTTTTACATCTTTTTTCAGTAGCTTCTTGAATTTGTTGTCGAAGTAAGATTGAGTTTTCTATATGACATACTTGATATAGTTGTTTCCAAATCTCTTGAGCATGTTTAATCCATTCTTCAATATGTGGTAGATCTGATGAGTTTAGTGATTGTAAGTTGCAATTAACTTTATTATTTATATCATAAATAAAAGTATTTATAATTACAGTTTTAGAATTGCCATTGTTTGCTTTTTTGGCTAATTTGATTAAATATCTGAGTTTTTAAGAGAAAAATAGAGCAAGGTGCAGTATGGAGTATATTGATGATTATAACTACGTTTGCGACTGATTTTGTTAGCGATAATATGAATAGCGGTATTAATGATAGAATGCTCAATTTTGTGTCAAGTAGTTTCCAAGGTTTCTTGAATATGTATATCAAGAGGAACTCGATATTTGTTAAGTATTAAAGTTAGATGATCAGCAAATTCTGTTTACATGTCTTTATTCATAGCTTTATAGTTGAAGATTCTGCGAGAGATACCTATATATCATTGGGGTGCCTTGCTATATGTATTGGGAAATGTTCAAGATGATAAAAGGATTAAATGATCACTTAGAATACTTGTTTTACTGTTATCAAGACTATATGATAAGAGAAATTGTATATTAAATTAATCAGTTCAAATGTAGTCTATTCGACTACTGCTTATATTGTTAGACCAAGTGAAGTGTGTGTTGTTAAAATGTGCACCTAGGTCATAGAAGTTAGAGTGATGTAGGAAGTTAATTAACTTAAATTTTGAAGATGAGCTATGGATACTATCTTGTATATTAAAATCATCAAGTATAATTAGATGAAGGTTTTGTTGAACTGCTAATTGAATCTATTTAATGATTGTGTCTTATATATCACTTCTTTTGATCATATCTGTGGATGATAAATATACTGATATTATTCGAAGTTTAATATTACTCTTAAAGAACAGATCTAAAGCTAGAGCTCCTCTTGGATGAGTAAAGCAATTATATATATAAGGTTTAAGATAGTTCTGAATCATGATGCCAGTTCCTTCAGTTGAGTTATTTGAATTGCCCAATAATATATAAATAGATTGTTGTTGCAAAAAGATAAATTAGCTTTGTTAGATATCTTAGTTTCAGTAACACTTGCAATAGAGATATTATAGTTTAAACAATAGTTTTGCCATACTTCTCTTTTCATAATAGTATTAAAGCCTCTAATATTGTGTATTGCAATTGTCAAATATAAATCACAATTTTGATTAGAGTATTGGTTAGGAGATGTATATGAAGTAGATAGAAAGATAGGTATATTTGATTGTGATTTTAGAGGGATATCATAAGAGTTATAGGTTGATAAAGTATAGTGGTTTGGTAGCACATTATGTCATATGGTAGATATATATGTGCTTCAGTTTTATCACTATTAATAATAATAAAACTATAGTCAGCCAGGTGGTTAATATTGTTTTGTCGTAGATCTGATAGTTTGTGATTCTCTTAGTAGAAGAAGATAATAATAGATAAGAAATTTATTAAAACATATATCCAAATCATAGGAATTTGATGATATTGGTAATGATTTGAAAAGATGTCCTTTTGTAGTTGCGCTTGCCGTTTTAAGCTTGGTTCTCACAGCTACGAAGGGTTCCATAGTCTGCCATGTATATTTGGTCTGACCATCTATATGGTCCTCTGTATAAATGAACTTGCTCACCTGTCCACTTATATGGCTATAGAAATTATAATTTTTGTATTAATATATTTTATTATAAAAATCTTCTCCATTAATATTCTTTATTCATAAATTGTCAATTATAGAATATTCTAAATAAAATATTATCGTTATATATTTTTCAAATTTTAACTCTAATCTAAATATATATAATTTCTTAATCTTTTATATATAATCAACACAAATTTATCAACTTAACTAAGTTAATATAAACTAGGTGCTGCAAAAAAAAAGAAAATTGATAAATTTTTTAAAATTAATTTTTTTACATAATTTAAAGCCATACAAATTTATTATATCGGTTTTCATAACATGAAACTTTAAAC